AGGAGTTACCCCTGAAGTACTTAGGTCTATCAGCCAGATAAACCATGCGCCAGCAGCATCCCTTACAGCTCTATTAAACAGGGCTCTCCCCACTCACCTGCACACAGCTTCCAGGGCAGCCAGAGGAAACAAGCAGCAAAGCAAAAATCCCTCCAGAATTACATTAGCCACATCCATTCCTGCCTCTGCACAGCACAGAGGCCTGCAAGAACCCAGAATTCAGCTCAGTCCCCTTGAACTGCCTGCTACCACTACCCAGAAAAACCAGCATTCCATGCTCTGGGCTTGGAGGAGCCATCATTTAATTTAGGGATGAGTTGCTGTGAGAAGCAAAGGGTTGCTGAGCCAACAGAGTGTCAGCTGCACTCTGAGCTTTACAGCTGCAAGCATCACTCTTGCTCATTCCACTCTGCCAGCAAGATTGAGAGATAAAGGCTCTTTTCTTTGCTCAACACTCAAGACAGCCTTAAGAGCCACACTATCAGCAGAAAATCAGCCCTGTGCAGCCAATATTGCAAGATTTGTAGTGATAGAGTCTGAAAGCAGGAAGAAGACTGGTGTAGCTTTAACAGCCTGCTGCAGTCTCCATACAAGCACAGATCTGAAGAGCCATCATCAGAGCCAGTGGATTTCCACAGTGCCAGCTCAGAGTGACCTGTCTTGTAAGGGAATGGATTTCTGCTTGAATTCTCCCTGGCTTTCCCACAGTGAGCACCATTTAAGGCCTGGAGCAGGACATTAGTGCCAAACAAAATAATCACATTATACTTATCAATAGCTGGGATGCACCCAAATAGAGCAGAACTAATGCCTTACACGAAAGGAAGGAGCAATTTAGATTCAGAGTGGTCTCTGCTCCTAGTTTCCTTTGTTAAATTCAGGTAAGGGACTGCTGCACTTCAGAGTCTTCACCAAAAATAAAGGTGACTATGGAGAACATCCCCACTTAAAACTGTCAATGCAGCTTACAAGCTCAGGCAGAGGCTGTTTTGGCATGAGCTTGGCTAGCATCTGCTCTACAGAAGCTCAGGAGCCAAGTCCAGACAAAAACTACAATCCACAGCAAAGAGTGAAACTGCCAATGAGCCCAGCTCTTGCTTGTTGCTGTACAAGTGCATCCTTTCCTAGGGCTTGGAGGCTCCACTTTGCACTGGGCAAAGCCATATGCCCTGGGAACATGACAGATTCAAAAGGAACCTCTTGTCAAGAAGATGATAACTTGCCTTCTGTTCCTATAGCAGTAGTGTTTAACTGCATGATGCAGCAATGGTGCTCCTCCACATCACTGCTCTCCACAATTCCACTCCAGTCACAAACCTCTCCAGCCTCTTGGTATCCAAAAGGAGCCAGAAACAGCTCCTCTCCAAACAAGCACCACAGCACCAAGAGAGCTGTACTTGCAGCACATTTTACAGGGAAGTTTGACCCCTATCTATCCTGCTAAGGAATTCTACCTTTAGGGAGAGCCCTTAACACCCAGCTCTCAGGCTAACCACTCTGCTCCAGTGCTCTGTTTATGCAAGGAAAGTGCTGCCACTTCTCAGGGCTCTCCAGGTGCCTAAGCTGCAGCTGCAAATAATCATAGAATCATAGGATGGTTTGGGTGGGAAGGGACCTCAAAAGTAATCTCCTGACATGTCCTTTAGTGACTCCAAAGCTAAGGTGCCAGATCTAATATCAGCCAGCATGTGGTGGTGTTCACAGGGGTCCCAGGATGAGGGAAGAGATGAGGATCTTGACTCTATGTTTCAGAAGGCTGATTTATTATTTTACGATATGTTATATTAAAAGAAAGTGATACAGTAAAACTACACTAAAAGAATAGAAGAAAGGATTTAATCAGAAAAAAATTGAATAGAATGATAATAAAATCGTGTGACAGAGTCTGAAATAGCTGGACTGTGATTGGCCATTAATTAAAAACAACCACATGAGACCAATCGCAGATGCACCTGTTGCATTCCACAGCAGCAGACAATCAATTATGTTTCATTTCGGAGGCTTCTCAGCTTCTCAGGAGAAAAGATCCTAACGAAAGGATTTTTCATAAAATATGTCTGTGACACAGCGGCACGAAGGCTGCACGATTCCCGGGAAAGGGATGAGCAGTGACAGAGCTGTGGGGATCTGGCAGGAGCAGTGACAGAGCAGCAGGAATGGGATCTGGCAGGAGCAGTCGGGTGCTGCAAGGAGCCGGGGCTGCAGGGCGCTGTTGCCATCTGCTGGCACCATCACAGAGCAAACCAGCCTGGCTTCCAAAACCTCTTCACACGCATGCACAACTTGTAGTGTGATTGTTCCGTAGTCACAGTTGCTAATGTTAAAATAAATTTAAAAAATAAAATAAAGAGAACTAGCCTGCTAGGAGTACAGCACTGCCTGAAAACCAGGGAGCAAGAGTTTGGCTCAAGTTGACGCTTTCTGGAAATCAAATGGAGGTGATGATGGATACGAACATGCCACGGACAACCATGGAGAAGTCAGGCACACCTGCTTCCCCAGGGTCAGCATTTGTTTCTGCACTCTTCTGAGCACATTAATAATCTTCTCCCCACAAAACAGGCCCAGAAACAGCTGCCTGAGAACAGAGCAATCATCTCCATGCCCTGTACCCCCAGCTTGTCCCACAAAGTGTCCAAAGTGACCACTACTGATCCATAAGTGCTTTCCTCCAGGTGGTGGCCAGACCAAAATCCCACACACAATCTCTCCTGCCCCGTCCATGGAGCAACAGGCTACAAAGCAGATGAGGAAAAATACCAGCCCACATTTGAACTCCTCTGTGTCCTGCGCTCCTGAGGCAGCTTTAGCAATTTCAGAGGGAATTGCCATGCTAACCCCACATGACAATCACCCTTAGGAAAGACTTATCCTGAACTGACAAAACAAATTAATTGCTGCTCCTGTGTGTATGTTCAGACTTAATAACACATTAATTAACATGAGACTTCTGCCCTTTGGCCTCGTGCCAGCAGTGGCTGAATTAATGACTGAAATTAATGTGACAAGAGGTGGAGAGCTGAGGCACTGGGGTCAAATTAAGTAACATGCACAGGGACTGAGAGAGAGAACAGTTCACCCCTTGGTGCTTGCTGCAGTGGAACCAGGGCAGAACTTCACTCTCCTTCCTTCCCTGCTTCACATGAAGCTTTGATTTCTGTCTATTCATAGATCTATCTCCTCAGTAAAGGTGCCATGCTGGAATAGTGAGGACATCATGTTGGAATATCATGTCTCATCTGTTTATGAGACAAGATGGTCAGATTTTGTGGGGCTAGAAGGCTGCACCTGCAGGTATAAACTCACAGCTCCAGCAACCCAAGGATCCAACAGGCAAGAGCTTTGTGCAAACCTTCCAGTGAGGCACAGCTGGTTTAAATACAAAGCCAGAATCTCACTGCAGTTTTTGATAGCTGTACTCTCTCTATTTGATGTTTGCACTCAGGTACCTCAAAATGCTGGTTGATTTGGTCAGGGGCAGAGAAAGAGAAGGGAGATGGATGAGGGAGGAAATGCAGGAGGGAATAAGAGGAATGTGGAGGAGCTGCTGGCTGCTGCCAGACCCATCTGTCCAGGCAGCAAGAGTCACAGGTGTAAAAACACCAATCACTTGTTTAAAATATTTTAAAAGTTTAATAGTAATAAATGGCTATAAAAATAATAAGATCATTAGAGTAATAAAAATTTGAACAATTGGGATTAGGACAATATGAGACAATAGAAACAAAGAGTTACAGACAGTCCAGGTATCTCTTTCTGGGCAAAATAAGCCCGAAAAAGGACCCACGTTAACAGAGGATTAATCCTTAAAAACAATAACCTGTTGCATATTCATACACCTCATACATGATGTATAAATTCCATTCAAACACAGGACTCTGTCTGGTCAGTGTCAGCTTCTTCCTCTGAATCCTGACAGCATCTGCAGGACTGAGCAAGGCGGGAAGAAGTTCGTTTCTTCTGATAATGAAGCAATAAATTCTTTTTTTCTGAATGATTCAGGTGTCCTGTGGCTGCTATCTCAGTGGGAGTACTTCGTTCCTCTCTTTTAAAAAAAGTATCTAACATAGCATAGTTTCTACTTTACATGATGTTATAACCTAAAACTTTATTTAACACACTACTTAAGAAAATTACTACAGCATAACTTTCTAACATAACACATCTAATATTCATTTTAATATTTGCAAAAAGCCAACCATAAAATACACATTTTTCACACCAGGGCTGCTCCTCTTGCTAAAGCTCACCTGTGCTTCAGAGGAGCACCAGCTCCCCATTAGAAGCAGCCGGTTGTGATAAAGGCTTTGTGTGTCAGCTGTGCCTGGTTTGTTCATGCAGGACCAGCGGTAAAGCTGCCTGGCAAGAAGCTAACAAAATTGAGTTAGATTTTTTTTCTTCCTTTGAAAAACGTGAATCAGTCACTAACATTACAGCACGTGAAGGTTTCCTTAATGCCAACCCCGCTGAGGACGAGGCCATGAGGGAGCTCCGGTCCCCTCGGCTCTCCTCCTCCCGCCCTACCGGCAGTCCCGGGGGCACCGGCAGGGGACAGCCCCTCACCCTCACGGCGAGCAGCGGTCAGAACAGCTGAGGGCGGGCCTGCCTGGCGCCACCCGGCGGGCTCCCGGGCACAGTCCCGTAAGGGCTGGCGGTAGAAAAGCCCCGTGAGGCCGGGCTGGGAGCACAAGAGCGGCTGTCCCGCCACCTCCTCCCCGCCGGGACACGGGGGCTGCGGAGCCACCGGGCCGGGCAGCGCCCGCCCCACGCGCCTCAGGACTCCCCGCCCCATCCACCCCCGCGCCGCCGCCCCGCCCTGCGGCTCCGCCCCGCCACTGCGCGCGCGGCATTCTGGGTATTGCAGTCCAGGAACGCCATTCCACTGCTGGGTGGAGCGGCATGGAAACTACATCTCCCGGCGTGCCGCGCGGCGCGGCCTCCCCCGCCGCCGCGCCGTGTTGTTGCGCCCGGCCCGGCGCTCCCCCCCCGCCGCGCCTGGTGTCGCGGGGCAGCCCGGGGCGGCGGCGGCTCCGTGCGCCAGGGCCCGGCATGGCGCTCCCGACGGCCGCGCCGCGCTGCCCGTAGGTGCGGCGGCGCCCAGGGCCGGGCGGGCCCGCGGCGATGAGCCACGGAGGGACTGTGAGGGTGCCGGGCGGGGCGCGCTGAGTAGCCCATGATGGCGAGGGGAACGCGGGAGGGGGGAGATCTCTGAGGTGTGAGGCGGGACGAGGTGTCCGTGACGGGAGTGGGGGTGGAGGGCGGCTGTGGGGCCGCACCGTGACGGGGAATGCGGGCGTCGGGGCCCTGGAGAGGGCCGGGCCGAGGGGCCGGGATGGGCTGGGGCTCAGCTGTGGTTGGGGTGCAGGGAGGGAGGGGCCGAGGAGAGCAGAACTGGGGAGCGGCTGGGGAGGTGCAGGGCTGGGGCTCCATGGAGAGAAAGGTGTGAGGTGCGGGGCTGGGGCTCCATGGAGAGAAAGGTGTGAGGTGCAGGGCTGGGGCTCCATGAAGGGAAAAGTGTGAGGTGCAGGGCTGGGGCTCCCTGAAGAGGAAGGTGTGTGCTGAGCAGCTGAGCTGAAGTGGGGACAGTGGGAGTGGAGGAGTGCTCCCAGTGAGGGAATGCTGAGGAGGAGCAGGAGAAAAGGAATGTCTGAGGATGATGCTGGGGAAGATGCTGGGAGTGGTGGTGAGGCAATAGAGCTGTGGTGTTAGCTGTAATACTGGGGAGAGTGCAGAGGTAATGGCAGGGAAACTGGAGCCTGGGAGTTGGTCAGTGTGTAACATTAGAGTGAGGCTCCTTGACACATCTGGAAGGCATTTCTGTAAAGAATTGAGAAATGTGGTGTGCAAGGAGGGCCTGGCACACTTAGAATGTGCTGGCAGGTTCAAGGAGCACTTCAGATGAAGGAGAGAAATAAGATGCAGGTAACTCTTCAGGGGAATGAGCCAGCTTCCAAGAACCTCACTTGAGAGCTCTGTATTCTTGCTTGTCACAGTTGACCAGTGGAGAAATCATCACTTTCCTGCTGTGCTGCAACATCCTAATCCCTGATTTTGCAAAAAACCCCATCCTGTAGGCATGGCTCACCTGAGAGAATTTGCTAGCCAGGTAAGTGGTGATTAAAAGGTTGTTTTAAAACCCTCTTTAAGGGTTTACATAATGCTGTTTGCTCTTGATACAAGGGTTTCAAACAAATAACCAGAAAATCACTTTTTGCCACTCTCTATCTCTGTTGCACAGGTCTCAGCTTACTCCTGTTGGCTGATTGACCTGTGCCTGACTCTGTACCTGGTGTTGGGCTGATAATGGTGTGTTGCCAGCCATACAGAGAGTTAATTTTTCACCCACTGTGGAGCCTTTCTCTGGGATTAAGGGTGTTCTTTTTAGGGAGACAGGAGTCACTGGCTTTCTGAATATTTTTGGAAGGGGAAGTCTAGGAATGGGAGCAGAAAAACGTGTTCATGGCATTAATCTCAGAAAAATGGTGCTTGTAACCTTGCTGTATAAGAGGCAGTGATATTTGATACTGGGTCATAACTCTTCCAAGAGCTCTCAGCCTCTGTGGATGTGGTTAAATGCTGCTGTTGTGATGACATTTTCACAAGAGGAGTGTGGAAAGATGATGCCAGGATTTGGGACTGAAAGCTAAAGCACGTTAATAGTATTGCCTTGCATCTTCTTCCCTCTGAGTTTGGTTGTGAGGTGTGTTTGATTATTGGCAGATGTCAGTACTGAGCACAGGTCTTCTTAAACCATGTTTTGGGGTATTCTGTTCTGCTCCTAAGTGTAGAATTACTAAAAGCTTTAGTGGTTTGAGCTGATGCTTTCTCTGAACCTTGACTGATTTAAAATTGATTTGCAATGCACCTCAGTTTGCATGCTGTCTTTCACATTAGCTGTTTCCCCAAAGTGTGTGTGGAATTAAATGTGAGTATAATGCCTGGCTGAGTCACTGCACTGGGAGAGAAAGGGAAGGATACTGCCTGATTAGGGCTGAAAACACTTCTGGAGCTGCAGAGGAGATTGCTCTGAAGTTTTTTTTTTGTACACAGCATTCACTCTTGAAGCTTATCAGCATTCTGGTGGCCTCAGCTCTGGATTTATTATGGAAATGTTAGGCATTGTCAGACCCTGTCATGCCATGACTGTCTGGTTTTGGAATAGAAAACCAATCTGTGCTGTCCATTCTCCAGTCTTTTCAGGAATCCCTGGTGTAGCTGAGGCTGGCTGGGAGGGCAGAGGGAACTGCCCTGAAGTTTTCTTCCCTGGGATTTAGGGAGCAGTGGGAGGTGCTGTGAAAACCAAGACTGAGACTTGCATTGGGCTCTCAGAGGCTTGGCTTGTGTCTGATTCTCATCTCTGGTGCTGATGGGCAGAGCTACCTTAGACCAGGCTGCTGTGCCTCTGTGCTGCCATTTCCCTGCCTCAGCTGCTTCTGCTCTCTTTCCTTGGCTCCCTTTGTGTGAGCAATCAGCACTGCAGGCCTCTGGTCTTGGTCTGAAGCTCCCAGGGGATGGATTTGTGGTAGTTCCTATGTTTAAAACTGTGATTTGGGCTCTGTTTCTACATTTGTTGTGAAGAAAAAGAACACTGCCTGTGAAGAGAGCTGGGAGTTTCAGACAGTGTTTCAAAGTGTTGCACACAAACTTCCCTCTTTTCTATACTTCAGAAATTCCAAACTGTCCCAGGTTTTGGCAGCTGCAGAGAGCTAAGCACAGATCTCATATAGACAGGGAAGCTTTCAAAAGGTTCCAGGTACAAAGCTGGTTTCACCAGAGAGACTCTTGGTAGCTCAGGGGTGAGTGTTCATCATGCAGGCTGGGAAACTGGGGTGCAGAGGAGGCAATGAGGGAAAGAGAAGAGCAGATGAGTTCTATTAAAACCAACTTCCTTCTTGCACTGTGTTTGTCAGAGCAGAATTATGTTTGTTTGTTTGTTTGTTTGGCTGGTTGGAAAGTGCTGCAGTCAGAAATAACTCTAAATGTGGCTGTGGTTCCACAGAAACCCTTTGAAGTTGCTGCATTCCTGGTCAGCTTCAGCTCATAAAGTGTTGGGGCCTTGGCAATTTTCTGTTTCAGAGCTCTCCCATGTAGAACAGTGATTCCAATTCCAAGATTAAGGAGTTCTCATTTCCAAAAGAATTCAAGCACCCCTCAGTGTTTTTTTGCAACAAATGCAGGCGTGATCCTTGCTCTTGAATATTTTGAGAGTAAAATCCAGCTGGACACAGCCCAGAGAGAAGATCTTCAGCTGCTTCAAATGGTCTTTGTTTCTGTTCCCAATATGCAGCTTATCTTTGCAGGCAGTAGCTTTGAAATGAGGGCAGATACTTACCCTTCTTCTCTAGTACTTATCCACATCTTCTCAGAGACTGTGGCTATCATGTCTGAGCAGCTGGAGGTGGCAGAGCTGCCAAAACCATTCTTTCCCCATGAAGCAGCTGGTGTTGCTGCCAGGCTTGTCTCATAACACACTGCAGTTCCTGATGGCTGCAGTGAGCTGGTCTGTTTTAAAACATGGTATCATCAGTCAGGATGGCAAACACTCCCACACCTGTCAGGACAGAGCATCCTTCTTTCCTGTGCTGTGAGATTGGATGCCAGAGGGCACAAGTGGAGCACATTACCAGGAAATTGTCACCATCCCTCTCATACTTATTCCCTTCCTGCACTCAAACTGAGCTGGTGCATTGTGTGCTCTCCCTCCAAAGCCTGCCCAGGCCTGCTTGAGCCATCTCCTGTGCCTGACTGGCTGCTCTCAGTGGAGAGGAGCAGCAGGAGGCTTTTTGCTTCAGAATTGCTGTGTAACAAGCAGCCAAGGAAAGAGCTACAATGTAGTGATCATCCCTTAACAGCAGTAGTAGAACAAGGAGCAGCTGCTGCTGCTGGAGCTCCATTTTTCAGCTCTGATGAATGTGGAAGAAAAATGGGAAGAACCCAAGCTGGTGAGCACTTGCAAAGGTGACAGGTCCTGATAAGCTGCTTTGGGTTATCTGTGCTTGTTTAAGCAGGTATAAAGCATTTCATCTGGATTCTGTTGCTTCCTACCTGTGAAGTTTTCCAGGTGTGTTTGTAGCACTGCAATTCCAGAAGATTTCCAGCCAGGGTGGTTCTCTGACAAGATGACTGGTACTGAGATAAGTTATATTTAGGAGAAGGAGGGATGGTGCTTGTTACAGCTCTCACCATGGTGCTGTGCAGGTGTGTTGGGGGAGTCAGGCTCATGGAGTGCATCCTTCTCTCTCCTGACAGAGCAGTGCAGCTCCACAGCTCTCCATTCCTGATTTGTGCTGCTCTCTGATGAGTGCTGAGACTTTTGTGCCCACAGATCTGAGCATTTGTGTTTGTCAGCACAGCACAGATCACCATGTGGTGTCTCAAACTGGATTTTTTTAATGGACAAGGGCTTTTGAGCAATGTCCTGCAGACAGCACATCTTAGTTTGTTCTGGAAGTTCAGAGTTGCTGAAAATGCCACCTGGCAGTTTCTTCTGTGGTGTTCTCAAGGTGTGCTCTTGAGCAGACATTGAACTGCTTGAATTGGGCATGGGCCTGTTTCCTCCTCCCTGTTTATAGAAAGGGAAGAAATCCATCAGCAAACTGTGCTCCTCCAGCAGTGTCTGGTGTGTCACAGTGTAACTGTGGCTGCAGTGACTCTGTACCCCTTGGCCCTGTGCTGGCTCTGGGTTCTTTCTGTTGCTGCCTCTGATTTCTGCAGTTTTGGCCAGTGCATCAAGGGATGTTCATCCTCAGGCCCTCCACAGAGTCAGACTCTTGCCCTGTCACCTGTGAACTCTAAAGCATTTCCAGGTCAGTATTGGGAAGGTAAATCCAGTACCTACAAACTAAATATCCTCATATTTCCACCCTGATGGGGGTGGGCCTGTCTCACCTCCCCATCTGTTACATTGTTTTCCTGAGTCCCTTGGGCAAAATTTCTGTGTGCTTCTCAGAGGCTTTGTCTCCTCCACCACACCTACCTGAACTCCTTTGTTCTACAGAAAACAGGATAAACCAACATCCAAGTCTGCAAGGTTGTTTACAAAGCTGTCCATGATGACAGAGCCTGCCACATAAAGTGGTGGTTGTCCCTAAAGCTGCCTGCCGCAGCCAGTGATCTTATGTTTGGTGTCTTCATCTGGAGAGATCAATCCTGACTCTCTGATGTGTCTGAGAGGGGAGCAGTTACTTCCACTTTCCTGTTCCTTACCTCATGGAAAAGTTACATGGGAGGGGAGGAATGTTTTCATGAAGATTTGCTTCCCTGCAGTATTCATGTGGATAGTGTTTCTTTTCTGAGCTGAGCAGGTGCTTCTAGGAGATGATCCTCTTTCTCTCCCTTCTCCCTGATGTGTGGGAGTGGCTGATGTGTTGTAGGCATTTTTAGGGTGCAGTAGGTCACTGTACACAATAATGTTTGGGGCACTTTCTTGCCTCTTCCTCCAAGTTGATCAACAGGTGGAAGCTGTTCCTGGTCTGCAGTGAGCCTGGACTAGTCAGACTGTTCTCCCTGCCTGTGGTCATCATTCTCATGTTGTCCCCTAACATTTCTCAAGCTCAAATCCTCTTTTTCCCACCTCCCTCTCTCCATCTCTGCTATGCATCTCCAGTTCTTATCTCTGAACATCCCTTCTAGTCTGTTTCCAGTGCATTTGTTCAAAGTACAGCCTGTTTGGGTGTTGCTATGGATGCAAAGGATATTTGGTTATCCTTCTATATCTTGGGCTGGAGTTTGTGTGGAAATCCTGTTGAGTGAGCTGCCTGTAAAACTCACCTGGTCCTGGCTTGCAGCAATGCACAGAAGGCAAACAACCTATGATGACAGACTGGCTTAATCGTTAAGCAACACCTTGGGCTGCTCAGTGATGGCCTGCTGCTAGAACGTGGTGTGAGGTGGAAAAATGCAGCCTCTGTGTTCTCTGAGAAAATCTGCCAGCTCAAGGCCCTTGTGAGAGAGCACTCTCCCTGGGTGACGTGTTGGAGGTGAGACTGAAGTTCTGGGTGTGGAAAATTCCTTCTATGGCTTGGCTGCTTCCTAAGGTCAGGCCATATTTTCCAGGGTTCTTTTTCAAACTATTAAAAAAAAAAGGCAGAAGAAGTAATCACAAAGAGCATTTTAGTGGCATGTAGGACCTCCTGGTGTGCAGGTGGACTGAATTAAGTATCATGAGAAAGTGACTGTGATTTATTCCCTTTCTTACCCATATCTTAATAAAGAATTAGCTGTGCAGCTGCTGTTAAAAGGTCAGTATTTCTCTGTTAGTAATGCCTGGTTGATGTGCTTATCTAATGAAGGAGATGCTGTTTGCCTTTGCATCTGAGGGTGCCAGCTAGAGAAGAGGCTGGTACAGAAAAGCAGCTCAGGAAGATGGAGTGTCCATTCTGCTCTCCTGCCTCCTCCTTGCTGCTGACCTTCCAAAAGATGTGAGGCTCCATCTGCAAACATCTGAGGAGAGCTGTGCTGGGAGCTGCCTGGAAATCAGGCTGCAGCAGAGGAGGCAGTAAATGTGAATTCAGATTACTGTAATATTTCACCCTCCAGACAAGTAGGGAAGGGTGCAGATCTTTCTAATCATTTCAGTCTTTGAGTGCAGGAAGGCTAACTAGGGAAACATTTTTATGTGGCTTCTTGCTTGTGCTCATTTTCTCATCAGATCTCCAGGAGGAATCTGGTTCTGGTACCCCTTGCTGGTCTGTACTGAAGTGTGAACAGATGCCTGCTCATGGAGCTGCTTAGGCACCAGTTGGTGCCTGCAGTTGAGCAGCCCTGTCCCAATGGAGCTGACACTTTCCACAGCAATATTTGCTGACATTCTCATGCTGGGCTTCCCTCGTTTTCCTCCCCCACTGTGATCTGCACGGTTGGAAACCTGTGGAAAAGTTCTAATCTTGGATATATTCTGTGCTAAGTTTCTAAGACTGTTTAAGATAGGTGAATTTATCAAGGTAGTAGGTGCTGCACAGATATGGAGATGAGCTGTATGGGGATGTGTGGTGCTCTGCAGCCTGGGAACTGAATGGAATTCTCCCACCTCGTGGTTTAGCACTCCAGGGTGGATCCTGAGGAGCTGTTCACCAAGCTGGAGAGGATTGGCAAGGGCTCCTTTGGGGAGGTGTACAAAGGCATCGACAACCGCACCAAGGAGGTGGTGGCCATCAAGATCATTGACCTGGAGGAGGCTGAGGATGAGATTGAGGACATTCAGCAGGAGATCACAGTGCTCAGCCAGTGTGACAGCCCCTACATCACCCGCTACTATGGCTCCTACTTGAAGGTAGGACAGACCAGGGTGGCTCCTTGCCAGTGGTTTGGGAATGGGGAGGAGTGGTATTCTCAGGGAGGAAAGGTGAATCTGACTCCATGTTCTTAGAAGGCTAATTTAGTATTTTATGATCTAGATTATATTAAAGAATACTATACTAAACTATAGTAAAGAACAGAAAATGAATACATCAGAAGGCTAAAAGATAATAATGAAAAACTCATTACTCTCTCCAGAGTCCCACACAGCTTGGCACTGATTGGTCATTAAGTAAAAACAATTCACATGAAACCAATCAAACAACCAGCTGTTGGATAAACAATCTCCAAACCACATTCCAAAACAGCAAAGCACAGGAGAAACAAATGAGATAATATTGTTTTCCTTTTTCTGTGAGGCTTCTCAGCTTCCCAGGAAAAGAATCCTGGGCAAAGAGGATTTTTCAGAAAATATGCTGGTGACAGGGAGGGCTGCTCTGTGGATGCTGCAGTGGGTGGTGGCATGTGGCACTGCAAAGTGACATGTGGGTGGCAGCATGGCAGCAGGAGCAGTGGTGGCTCTGCTCACTGAACTGATGTGCACTTGATAGCAGACTGGGCTTTAAGGCACATTTCATTTGGAAATGAGGTGCCCTGTACTTTGTGGTACCCAGAGCAGGGCACTTCACTGGAGAGCAAGTTATTTGTTGAAGACTGAACTTTCCCTGATCTGACAGTTCTGGAGAGGAAGTTGATGGAATACTTTTCCAGAATAGCACAGTCTTAAGGCAGTACCACTGAGGGATTTATGCCTTTGGAAAAAAGAGGAGATTGAAATTCATTCATTTCGTATTTCATCAGAAATGGTGAAGAGTATATGAACTGAGTCTATGGAGGAGTACTAATACTGCTTCCACTGAGAGCAGGTTTAGGAATCCCTGATGGAAGTAGTGGCCTGTGCATGCTGGCTGCTGGAGGTGAATGTAACAGTGAAACTGTAGCAAACAATTCCTGAGCTCTTTGGGTCCTGAATATTCCTCCTTTATTTTTCAAAGGCCATAATGCATTTTCTCAGCCTTCTGCTGTAGTTTCATGGACCTGCTGCTTATCTTCTGTTGGGACCCTGGAGCCTCAGCATGGAATCTCTTCTCTGAGGAGTAAGAGTGTCTTGCTGATTGTGCCCTTCATGCTGGCAGCTCTATTAATGAGATCAAGGGCTGCTATGCTCCCCTGCTATTGCCAAGAAGGATTTATGCTGGGTGAGCTGCTGGAGAGATGTTAAAGGGCTCCAGCCTGGGAATAAGCTTATCTATGGGCTGGGCAGTCTGGTGCCTGTAGGGGCACTTGCCCAGGTGAAACTGCAGACTGAGAGTTAGCAACGTGCTGGAGGCAGGCAATGCTGTGTCAGCAGAAAAGAGGGAGCTTGGCTCCTTCCGTGAGCCCCTGAGAGCTGCAGTGTGCAGCAGCTCTGGGATTGTGTACAGGACAATCTTGTGTGTTGCTGCCTCGTGGGTGTTTCACTTTCTGTCTGCTTTTATTACTGTCTTTGCTCTTGGTTTGTGCTCTTGCTTGCAGGGCACTAAGCTGTGGATAATCATGGAGTACCTGGGAGGAGGTTCAGCCCTGGATTTGGTGAGTAAGTGGCAAGTTCTGGACTATGAAAAATACTGACTGAAGCCTTGGTTTGTGCAATGCCCATAAGCCAGACACTCACTTGCCACATTCCATCCTTTAGGCAGCCCTGTGCCCAAGGGTAAGCAGTGCAGGACACACATGTTGGTTATGCTTATCCCAGGACTCAGGGAAGGTTTTCATGGAGCTCAGCTGTCCCTGCACTGTTGTCCAGCATGCTGTGCTGCTGTGTGATGAAACAGCCAGTGAACTGAAAAGTGAGCACAGCCAGTTGGTTTTGAGCAGTAAAATCTGTACTTCACCTAGTCAGAGTCATGGTATTGCTCAGTAAGGACATGGTCTGTGATTAAGTTACTCCAAATTTTGAGAATACACATGCAGAATTTACCCACAGGCAAAGGTGCACTGCACTGTATTCTGTCACAGCATTTTTCTCTTCTCTTTTGGACAATAAGAGATAACTAATGATGTAGGGAAAACTGCTGAGCCTACAGTGGCTTGGAGGAAGGTGTAATGGGGAGCTGTCATCAGCAGAAGTTATCTGACTGTCAGAACCTCAGCTGTTGCACTGAGAGGGCAGGACTTGGTTAGAGGAGAACTGATAGAAAGGGGAAGAGCTTTGATACTCCACAGCCTGAGGGTTGATGTTCTCAGAGGCTGAAATTCAGTACTTGCATGCTGGCAGAGAGACCTGAACAAGAGAAACTGTTAAAATGTTCTGTTGGCCAGTGTATTCCCAGGCCAAAGTGAGAGATGAACTGCTGTTTGTTTGGGAAGCCTTTAACAGACTGATAGGCCAGCAGAAAACCCCCCAAAGTTTTGCCATTGAATGGTTCCAGGTGCAGACACCAGCATTCTGCTTGTAGCCCCTAAATCAGATGCAAGAAGGTGCTTCCTGCTGAGTACAACCTGCTTGGCCAAGGTTTCCAAGTAACAAACTGAGAGCCTGGAAAATCCAAGGCATCAGTTACCCTCTTTTAAATCATCTTTCTGCCTTTTTTTAGCTGAAGCCAGGACCACTGGAGGAGACTTACATAGCTACTATCCTGAGAGAAATCCTAAAGGGCTTGGATTATTTACATTCAGAGAGGAAGATCCACAGAGACATCAAAGGTAAGATTGAAGAGCTCAGCTCCCTCTCTTGTAATGAATGTTAGTAACATAATACTCAGAGGTATTTTATTCACCATAATCTGCAAGGTTTCAAAGACTGTTTCTCAGTGCAGCTTTTCTTGTTGGGTTGCTGTTTTGTGAATCTGATGCTTGTCACTGTATTACAACTCATGCTTTTCATGTCTTTAGGGTTTAGAGTAGCAGTGAGGATCTGTAGCTCTCCTCTGGCACTTGGAGTTTGGACAAGTCAGGGATTGAAGGAGTCAGTGAAAGGCATGCTCAGATATTAGCTGACTTGTGTCTGGACATTTGCTTTTCTGCTGGACCCCAAGGGTGTGTGCTGGTTATTGTGCTTGTAGCTCACAGCAGGAGTGAGCTGTCCTCAGGCAGGGTTCACTGCCCTAGAAAATCAGGACAGCTTGTGTCAGCTTATCCTGTTGCTGTTTTTTATAGTCCCTGGCCACGTGTGGTGTACAGAGCCGGCATCTGCATCAGAGTTCTGCAGGAGGATGGAGGGGCAGAGCTGTGGAGCTGGGCCAGGTGCTCACTGCTCTGACCCACTGCAGGAGGGGGTGTGAGCAGTCAGGGCACAGAAACCTCATGCAGGGAGATTGGGAGAAAAGATTTTGTTGCTATGTGAGACTGCCTGTTTCCAGCACTGCAGGATGTGTAGGGCTGTTGGCTGCCAGTGGTGGGCAAATGCTGAAAGTTGTTAGGTAGGATATCAGAATGAAACCCCCATTCCCAAACTTGCACAATGTTACAGTCTTACCAGTGAGTGGGAACCAGTACAAGAGTGGGCCTTGGGCTCTTTAGAAGGATCTGCTGTTTAACTTGGGCTGAATGCTACTCTGGAAAAAAAATCAGGAGATTAGAGACTGTGTTACCCTCCCTTCTCTGTGTGGCCAGCATCTAATTGATGGTGTGGTCCTTCACATCTGCTCCCTGTTCCTACCTTACCAATATTCCCCTTCTGATCCAACAAAGTGCCTGAGCTTGTTCCATGTTACCCAGTGGAGTTCAGAGCATGACAATGGGTCTGAGGCTGGAAATCCAGGCTGAGGGTTATCACTGGGGTGAAGGGGGATCCCCCAGGAGGGCTCTGCTCAGTATTCAGTCTGTGTGGGCTGCAGGTGATTCAGAGGCCAGCAGACTCAATTTCTTATTTGTGCATACAGCTGCCAATGTGCTGCTCTCAGAACAAGGAGATGTGAAACTGGCTGACTTTGGGGTGGCTGGCCAGCTGACAGACACCCAGATCAAGAGAAACACCTTTGTGGGGACTCCATTCTGGATGGCACCAGAAGTCATCAAACAGTCTGCTTATGACTTCAAGGTGAGCTGGGGGCAGGATTGCTGCTTGGGGCTGCCATACATGAGGTGGTGCTAGGACAGAAACAGGGGTTGGAAGTGCTGCTTACTGCAGGAATTATTCTTTTCTGTTATGATGCAGAAGTTTCTGTTCTTCTGCTGAAGAAGTTTGTATATCAGACATGAAATGCCCCACCTGATTTATGTGATTAGCTGTCCTAAAACTGTACTTTCATGTTGTAGAATTGTTCCTTGCTGTTCTGGGTTCTTTTTCTTCTCTTTTCCAGGCAGACATCTGGTCCCTTGGGATTACAGCCATTGAACTAGCAAAGGGAGAGCCTCCAAATTCTGACTTGCATCCTATGAGAGTTCTCTTCTTGATCCCCAAAAACAACCCTCCAACACTTGAGGGTCACCACAGCAAGCCCTTCAAGGAGTTTGTGGAGGCCTGCCTCAACAAGGATCCTAGATTTGTGAGTATTGCTGCCCACTGTGAATTTGGGTAAAGGCCAGCAGAGGTCAAAATGCCTTCAACAGGAAGGTTCCAGAATTGCAGAGAGAGAATTGCTGAGCTTACAGGATGGACACATGAGCTGGACTTCCTCATGAGGGGACATGGGGGGACGAGCACTGATCACTTCTCTCTGATGACCACAGTGGACCTCAGGGAATGGCATGAGGCTGTGTCAGGGGAGCTTTAGATTGGGTATTAGGAAAAGGCTTTTCCCCCAGAGGCTGGTTGGGCACTGGAACAAGCTCCTAAGGGGCAGTGTCATGGCCTCAAGGCTGCCAAGAGTTCAAAGAATATTTGGATAAAACTCTCAGGCACTTTGTTGGGGATTGGTGGCATTGTTGGGGGCTGTCCTGAGCAAGGCCAGGAGTTGGATTTGATGATCCTCATGCATCCCTTCCAGCTCAGGATATTCTGTGACTCCAGCAGCAGTCAGTGAGTGTGTGTTCAGTGTGCAGGGATGGTTAGATGTGACATGCTTTCCTTTTCTGCTCCAGAGGCCAACAGCTAAAGAATTGCTGAAGCACAAGTTCATCACACGCTACACCAAGAAAACCTCGTTCCTCATGGAGCTCATCGACCGCTTCAAGCGCTGGAAGTCAGAGGGCCACGGAGAGGATTCCAGCTCTGGGGACTCTGACATGTACGTGCATCTTTGGCATGGGGGCTGCCCCTGCTGCCCCTGCTTGCCCCAGGGTGGCCTACTGCAAACAGCTCAGGTCCTTTTCCCACCTGAGGCCTTACCTTGGAGCTTTTGATTGTGGCAGCAAGTGAGTGCTGTTACCTCCTGTTCAGTGGGATTCTGTTCTGGTCTTAACCTGGAGCCTCTTTGCTGAGTGTAAGGAATCAAAGTACTGACACAAAACATTATCTGTGTGTAACCAGTAGAACAGGGCTCTTGTGACCTGTATTTTATGCACTCTTCATTAACTACAAGAGCTCCAGGCTTTAGGAACTGTGGTGAGGGCTCTGTGGTGTCACAGAGCTGCTCTTCACCTGTGGCAGCACTCAAGTGACCAAGCACTTGGGGAAATTGGCTTCTGACATCTAAGTCTAGTCCCTCACATTGTGAGCTTGGGTTGTCTTGAAATTCTCCTAAATTTAACTAGCACTAGAAACTTCTTCAAGCTGGCTGGATCAGAGAGGTGATGTGGTAATTTGAAAACATGATGTACTCAGCTCAGATCTCTTTGATGCTCTGTAGGTGTAGTAGAGACTTAAGTGGTTTCTCTTCAGAATTTTTTCTGGGATAGGGAAAAGCCTGAAGGCCTGCAGCAGTATGGCAGTCAGGTGGGGAGAACTTGTGATTCTGGGAAAGTGTGGGCAAACCCCCAGTGTATGGAACTGGGGCTTTGTCTTGACTTTCCCCTTTTCATTTGCAGTGATGGAGATGCCGAGGATGGAGACCAGGGTCCAATCTGGACTTTCCCACCAACCATTCGCCCCAATTCCTTGAGCAAGCTGCACAAAGGAATGGCTCTGCATGGTTCCCAGAAGGTCTGTGTGCTGTCTGGTCTTTCTGAAGTGGACTGAACTAACATGAGCTTTTGGGTGTCTTGGGGAAGCCACCATGCCCTCATCCTCTGCCTGAAATTTATTTCAGTCTGGCACCAGGGGCTGGTGCTGCAGAGCTGCCTCTTCCACATCATCAGGGCACTGTGACTTGTGGCTTTCCCAGGATATGGTGATGGGATTGCTGTGGAGGTGCTGTGAATTCACCAAAGGCTGAGTACTTCATGTGCCCTGGAAGCTTTTCCCTGTGCTTGTAACTTCTTCTCCTGTTGCTTTCCAGCCTACTGAGCCCATCAAGAGGCAGCCACGGTCACAGTGTCTCTCCACACTTGTTCACCCAGTTTTTGGGGAGGTGAGTAGAACCTTCTTGGTGTCTCTGCTGGTTGGACATGAAGAGATACCTGACATAGAAAAATGGGAAGGATTTGGAGAAGGGAGGTGTGGAGAGGTGTCTAGTAGGGTTAAGGGACTCTGAAGCATTTGTACCAGTTCAGAGGGCTAGACCATATGTGGGGAAAGTGAGTGTGTCCCTGGCCTGTCCTCCTGAAAACACTTGTGTTGGAAGAAATGCATTACCCTTCTGGCAATCTGTGTTCTGGTGAGGAGCTGACAGAGGAGTTTCTCTTACCTGCATCTTGGGCTTGCTGGTGCCTGGGCAGCTCCAAACTCTGATGTCTGTGGCTGAAGTGCAACTCCTGTTAGAGCAGATTTGATCTGCCTGTCACTGTGCATGCCCACAGCAGAGCTAATGAGGGGAAGGTGGGTGGGTTAGAGCAGGAATTGGCTTTGCTGGTCACTAGACCATTTCTTGCTCTGTACAGACTGCTGTTGGTAGAATGCCAAGACCAGAGTTCCCTGCCACCCAGCTTCTGGAAGGCAGGCAGAGAAAATCTGTTTAGAAAACTGACCCAGTTGCCCTGCCTGGTGGTCTGGATGGGGCTGTGGAGTTGGAGTAAGAGCTGCCATTAATGACAGGATGGTGTCTGTGTCAGCATCACCTTCACAGCTGGGTGATGCTGTCAGGGAAGAGAAGGATAATCATAAGGGGGCTGCTGGCTATGAGCTCTGGTTGCTCTTTCCAGCAGAATGGCAGGAAAGGAGATTGATTATGCTTTGGAAGAAATCAATTAGAAGCTGCCTGTCAGGGTTCTGTTCTTGTCTGCTGGTGACAGACACCCTTTCCTGGTCCTGAGGAGTTCCTCTTCTGGATCCTGATGGCATGGCCTAGCAGAGAGCTGTGCTTTTCCCAGGAATAGTTTCTAGACTTTGTTTTCTCAGGTGTGCTGCTCTGTGGAAGGAGGGTTTGCTGCATGGCAGGCACCAGAGATCATTCTGAAATGCAGGCTCTTGAGACCACTCTGCTATGGAAATTGGGATTTTATCTAACCAGCCTCTCTGTGCTTTGACTTTCAGAGTCAGAGCATGAGGCCACTGACCTGGCTCTTGTAGGCCCAGAGCTATGAGATGAAGCCACATTAAAGCCGTGCTGGTTTGTGATGCAGTTTGTGCAGCACAGTCACTGATGTCTGGGTCTCTGTTCAGTTTAGGAGCCTCCTGGGGCAGAGTGCTCAAGGCTGTGGCTGTAAATGCAGTTTGTGCTTTTCCTTACTCACCTTGCTGCACCAGTTCCAGGCAGGAAGTGGCTTCTCAGACATTTCATTTCTGCTGGTTTGATTCCCTTGCCCCAGTTTTTTGATCCCCCTTTCCCTTGATGAGAATTTTGCTGGCTCAGAAAATCTCACTGAGCAAAATTAGGAGCAGGAAGGGTTCTGGGCAGTCTCAGAAATAACCTGGCTTTTGTGTGCAGTAGAGGGGGCTTGAAAGAAAACTTCTCCAGGTTGGAAATCTGCTTCTCTGCTGGTTGTGTGTGTTATTCTTTGCTATTGGTAGGAAAGTAGAACTGAAAACTTTGTCCTCCTCACTGTTGTATGATTGCATTTTAAACCAGCTAGGTTTGATCCCCTCATTCCCTAAAGGGGCTGAAGCTGGGATTGTGAATGGAAATCTGACTGAGATGTTATTTGTAATCTTTCATCTGCCTTCCTGCATGTGGGTTACTGGATGTTAACACTGAGGACAGCTCGTGAGGAGTCATTAACTGTAGGGGGACACAGTGTGGGTAAATGAAGGTGGTACAGAATGTAATCTTATCCCCCAAAGAGTTACAGCTGAGCCAATTACTAAAGATCAGGAGCAGGCCTGATGTTAAGAGGCCACACCTGTAGCCAATAAGAGCAGTGTTATAAAAGAGTGGATTGGTGTGATCAGGAGTCAGATGGTCACTGCAAGGACCAGGAACAGTCAGTGCTTAGAGGAGCTGCCTGTGAGAAACATTGAGGAGGTATGAAACTCTGGTGCTATGGAATCCTTGCACTATAATGACAGGAGAACTCTTGATATATAAGACAACAAGTAATAGGTGTGGGCAGCTGCAAATCTGGAAGCATTGTGGGGCAGGGAGGTAAAATGACTTTTTAAACCTGGTGAGGTTGAGCTCAGTGCAGTGCTGTAACTCCTGCAAGCCTCCAGAGAGCTCTCTGCAGTGGGAGGAGACAGCCCAGCACACACTGCTCCGAAGTTCAGGGGCTTTGGCACCAAAGGCTGATGATAAACTGACTCCTTACCTCCAGGACAGACAGACCCTGTGCTTATTCTGAGGCAGGCAGCCTTTGGTAGGTACAGATCACATCCTTGGCTGTAGCATCACAGCTATTTTTGCCCTAAGAAATCTGTATCCTTGATGAGTAAGTGAGTTGCCCTCCATGCCCCTGCCACTCTGACTGAGCAGAGGTGTGTGTGGGTTGTTCCCACAGCTTTGTGGCAGGGAACAGTGCCCCTCTGAGGAGGCAGTGGCCCTTTTTGGCTGGGAACTGTTTGTTCCCAGCAGGGACTTGCTGCACAGGCATGACTGCAGCTGGGGATTAGCATTCACAGTGTTCTGCTGTCTGAGAAAAGGTGAGCTCCAACAACAGGAAAGGCTGATCCTGGAATTGAGGGAAAGAACTGCAAGGCTTATGTAAAGCCCTTTAATCAGCAGGGCCTGATGAGAGCTTCATTGAACTGGACCAGACATTGCTTGTTCAGCAGGGTGCTTGAGTGTTGTTCAGCTCCTTGTGTGCTGGTGCCCTGGGGAAGGGGCTGTCAGATCAGCAGCTCATGGGAAGGTGGGGAGCTGCTGCTGCGGGTGGAAATGTAGGATTTCCAACAGCAACTCCTTCAGGCTCAGCACCAGTGACCTGTCAGGTTCCTTCTCAACAGAGCTGTGGCTATTTCAAGTTAACAACTGGAAACTTGTGCAAGTAGAGGCCATGAGAGATGTGAACTGGTGAGGGAGGGTGCTGTTTGTGGAGGTCTTAGTGTGTGCACTTTGTTCCCCTGCCCCCTGGGTAGAGCTCTCTTAGAGGGGAGTGTTGGAGGCCCAGGGGCTCAGGTTCCCTGGTGTGGCAGTTTTCTGTGGCCTCCCAGTCACTAGAAGCAGCTCAAGGCTTTTTTGTGGTTGTTGGAAGTGGGGCTGACTGACTCCTGGCACTGGGTATATTCTGCCCGCCTGCCTGTGAGCCTGAGTGTGTGTCTGGGTGCTGGGCTGTCATTAGCAGCAAAGGTGATTGTACTGCTTCAGGTACACCTGGAGTTCTTTGTGCTGTGATGAGGTTTCAGGGCTGTTGGTCCATTCCTTACAACATTTAGTTAATTTAAGAATACATCCTGTTAGGTAAGGTCTTTGATTGCCGTTAGTACCTGGAGGCAAATTTGAACCCCAGACATTGGAATTCTACCTTACTGCCCTACAAATGAGCTGGTTTTGGTTTGTTTAAGTGGAGTGTGGGTGCCCCCTACACCCTGGTGGAATGGGAAAGGGCCTTAATGTCAGTGCTGCACTTCTTGACCATTTTCTGCAACGAAATGAGAATCTAATGCTCTGTTTCTGGGCTGCAGCTCAAAGATAAGCACAAGCAGACTGGAGGCAACGTGGGAGCCATGGAGGAGCTGGAGAATGCCTTCAGCTTGGCCGAGGAGTCCTGCCCAGGCATCTCTGACAAACTGATAGCACACATGGTGGAGAGGGTCCAAAGGTGAGCAGTGCCCAAGGCTGAGCTGGGGTGGAGCTGCCACTGACAGCTGGGCAAAGTCCACACAGACAAAAGTGAACTTCTTCTGACTGGTTGCATTCAATGACAACAGTTCCTTTGCCTCAGAAGCCTTTCCTCACACTGGGCAGGTTTCTGTAGTGCAGGTGTATGTTGTAGGGCACAGAAAGGTGCTGCTGTTAATTTCATTTTGCACATAAATCTATGTACACATGATGTCCTGCTGGTGTCATTACCCAGGCAGCAAGGACTGTGCAAATTTCACTGGGTTTGCTTCTGGAATAGAAAGTTTCTGTTAATAAATACCTGTTTCATTGCAGGGAATGTGCTTTAAAGCACTACCTGCAGCTAGTCACTGCTTGCCCACCTTTAGGTGTACACAAAAGTGTACTTTTCCTGCAAGAATCATTTATTAAACCAGTGAAGGAATGTAGGCTGGTAGAATTTAGTTCTTGCTGGGTCAAACTTGGCTCCATTGCTGGCACCAAGTCCAGTCACATCCTTGTGTGGCAGGTACCAGCACAGCTAACCTGGTCACAGATTTACCAGGCTTTATTTAACATGAATTTGGCTTTTCTCCCTTTCACAGCAGGCTATCCTAAATCTCACCCTTTCCTTACCATGAGAGAAACTTAACATTTGGCTCCTCCCTGGTTAGCAGGCTGGAAGTGTTTTACCATACCAAAAGCAGCTGTGGTGTGCTCTGGCTGCCCCTATAAACACAACCCAAACTATTCAGTCTTTACACCCTTGAGCTCAGGCTTTGTAAGCGTTTACTTCTCATGGGTTAATGTCTGTGCCTTGTAACTCAGGTTCCTATTGAATAGAAGAGAATCATTAAGGTTGGAAAAGGTGTCCCAGATTGAATCCAGCCTTTCACTGATCCCCAGTGTGGCAGCCAGACCAACAGGCTGGCTGGTGGGCAGGTAGAGTGAGCAGGAAGTGCAGGTAAATTTGGCTGGGTGACTGCAGACAGCTTCCAGCATCACTCACTTCTGTCAGCCTAGAAATGACACTGCTGCACAGGGCAGAAGCACATGATAATTGTTTTTTTGAGGGGCTTGCAAAACCTCAAAGACTTTCTTGCTTTCTTACCATAAAACATCAGTGCTGAAAACTACTTATTAGGTTAAAACTGAATCTTGAAAGCCTGAAGAAGCACCAAACCACCTTGGCTTTTTGTTAAAAATGCTGGTGTTGTCTGTCAGGACTGCAAAACCTGGCAGTGGGGCAGAGGCAGCAGCCCTGCCCAGTGTCCCTTGTCCCCTGTTCCTTGCAGGTTTTCACACAGTCGGAACCACCTGAGCTCTGCCCGCTGACACTCACCTTCCCTGCTGCTGCTGCCAGGGGGGAAGGATTTATTCCAGCTTCATAAGAACTACATCTCTAATCCAGACCACCATCTGTTGGATGTGACATTGTGATGGACCCCAGGACATTTCAGAGCCTTCATGTTAGCCGTGTTTCCGTGATAACCCAGGGTGGGGTTTGCAATGCAAGTACAACTTAGACCTTTTGCAGAACCCGAGATGGGTGGTCTAATTGTTTTTACAATGTAATCAATGCAGTTTTTAATTGTTTTCCTACAATGGATGTGTCCATTTTGGCTTGGTTTGATTCACAGCTTGTTTCTGGTAAATGCCTGGCTGCTGGAAAAAGGGAGATTCTCTCCCATTGATGGATGTTTCACAGGCAAGTCTGATGGGTTTAGTGTCCTGCCCTTCCTAAAGAAGTGTTTGTGAGCAGTCTTGTGTGAGTGCAGGGATGTTGGGAAGCTCTCCAGGTGTTTAGGGCCTCTGGGAGAGTGAGAGCAGCTCTCTAGTTGTTCTGGAGGATCACTTCCAGCCCTTCACACACAAGTGACAACACTTCCCAGTGCTGCAGCAGCTGAGCTGATACAGTTGCTCTTTCCCAGCCTGTCATTTCATAGGAGGATGGGTTTGCTGATTGTTCTTTTGTTGGCTCTGGGACATCGTTTTGTGTTAGGCCTTAGTTCATCTACTTCAGGCAACAGCAGAACTTGCCTTGGGCCTGCAGGGAGCAGGAGGCAAAGGGGATGTTGGATTTGCTGTGGGAGCTGTGCAGTTCCTGTCCCTGGTGCTCCTGGCAGCCTGGGCAGGCCCACAGGGGGCAGAAGGGTTAAAAAGGGGAATGGGGGAACACAACAGCTGCAGGGCTTTGGTTCACAGGACAGAAGGACACTACATAGCAGCTTTTGGTGCAAGAACCTGTGCTCTGCAAGAAGACATAAGCTGGATGGCTCACAGCAGTGTGGCAGGGCTGGGGGTTCCCAAAAGCTGCTCTAGGCCTCCCTCTCCTTCTCAGCCTCCCCTCTGTGGCTCCTCAGCCTCACTGCAGCTGGCTCTGCTCCAGGTGAAGGCTGGGCTGGTGTTTGGTAGCAGAGACACTACAGCACCCACTGCTGTGTTGGCTGCTTGAGGTATCCCAGCAGAGCATCCCCAGGGGCTTTGCTTTCTGTACCATACTGGTTTATAAATCTTTAATTCAGGTAAGCACACAGATCTTAAATCTACATTTTAAAGGTCCAGAAAAATAGACTGAGGAGAGTAACCCCTGCTAGCTGTGAGATTGCTCAGAGAGCTGCTCTCCAACTGAGATTCCCATGAAGTCAGCAGGAGCTCAGTGCCCCAGCTCTTTCTGCCTGGGTGTTTGTGTGTGGATGAGATGGCTCAGCCCAGAGCCCCTGAGAACAAAGGCTGGAGCTGTTCAGCATTTTTAATGACAGGCCACTTGGTTAGAAACAAGGCTTGGTTTTTGGTACTTAGACCTGCAGATTTGAAGTGCTGGGCTGCAAGTAGCTCAGGGGGGACCACAGTTCCCTGCTCCTGGTGTAGGGTGTTCTTTACCTTATTTATCCTGCTGGATAAAGCCAGGCTCAGCAACACTATGAACTTGTACAGAAGAGAAGAGGTGCTGCTGCAGAGCAGTGTTCTGTGGTGAGAGCCAGCTCAGAGCTTGCAGGTAGGAAGAACAGAACAAACCCACTTTTCCCTCAGGAGAAGTTTATGTACAGACAGGAGACTTGGAGAGCGGGAAGGCAGAGGCTGCAGGGCAGCACAAGGGCCCCTGCTGCTTTTCAAGTTGCTGTTCACAGCAGTAGCAAAGGTGTTGATAAGGTACCTGTGTTGTTCCTCACATGCTCTGCAGTGTAATGAGGAAACTTTCTAAAGGAAACAATCCCCACCCCTTGGCCCAGTATTCAAAACCAATGGGTTTAGTTTTCAAAAACATTGAAAGGGATCTGCCACTTTCAATAAAGTAATAAAATCAATGAGGCTGGTGTAACTGTGTTATTGGGGGAAAAGGATTGGTTCCAGCTGCTTTTCTCTGCATTCTTCTTGGTCTTCCTCATGCATCTATAACAGAGCCAGAGCCAAGTGCTGTATTCAAGGATAACAGCTGCAGGCACATCAGTCTTTGCTGCTGGCACCCCACTATTGGCAAAGGTGGAGCTGTGCCCTGAGCACACTGCACTGAGCACACTGCACTGCAGGGTTTTGCTGGAGTTTGTTCATTATCTGCAGTCTTTAGACTCAGGCTCCATTGGCACCAGGACTCTCTGCCTTCCTCTTGGGCCCAGCTGGGGCAGGGGTGCCCAGGAAGGTGCTGGAGTCTCCATCTTTGGGGATAATCCATTGCCCCATTGTTCAAGTTCACTGAGGTGAGGTGGTTGCAGTTTTGCCAGGAATAGCAATGGTTTTGGCTTTCCTTGCCTGAGCTCCTGCACTTTAAATGCACAGAGATTTGAGCTCAGCACTGTCAAACCAAGAAGGGACTTGGGCTGCCTGCCAAAGTCCTTCCAGAGGCTCCTGCTGTAGAGACCCCACCTCAGCCACTGCATCTTCAAGGAGATGCTGAACTGTGACTCCAGCACAGAAGCAACAAAAAGATCATTCACTCACCAGCCCACAGACCTTAAAGGAAGACTCTGCTCACTGTGGGAGCCCCAGTTTGGATGGAGAGCACTTGGTACAGGGTGAGCTGAGATCCAGAGATGCGGAAAACTGAATAACTGGAACCTGGGATGGTGGGCCCAGGAATAAGAGGCTGAGAGAGTTTTATACCAAGATGCTATTTACTTTGAACAGTCATATTCAGCCACAGTATAACATGTCTAATCAATCCACATGGGTACACCTACAACAGGCAATTAAAAAAATAATAAATGAAGACACTAATAAATTAAGTACATTTAACTTAGATGGGACAATGGTCTGTGACAGTGGTGGCAAAGGCTGGGTCTGCAGTCACTCCTCTAGGATGCAAATGCCAAGCAAGAAAATCCCTCTGGATCCCCCCTCCCCTCAGTCCTGATCCCACAAATGCTTGAGACCATACCTGAACACTTGTGCTGGCCTCTGTCCATCCCATTGTCCCATGGGATCTCCACATTGCTCCATCCCCTCAGCATGCAACACTTTCCTTTTGCTCTCACTGCTTCACTGCCTCGTTCCTTCCATTGCTACACAAACACTTTTCTATCTAAAATAAACCAGAGTCCCCACAGCCCATCAAAGCCACGTCCAACAGCACCTTGTGGCACTTAGCAAATGTCAGTCCTTCAGCGGAGGCACCCAAAGGTGACAGCTGTACAAAAGAGAACAAGCTGCAAACATTTCAGATTGAATACAGAAATTTAATAGAGTCCACAGACACTAATGCTCCATCTGGAATCCAGTGACTTTTACACCTTCATGAGAAACAGAAGATGGATCCCACCCCAAACTGAACTAGAAGATGAGGGATTTTCACAAGTCTTGCCATGACAAAAGCACAAGCAACAGTGACTTTCAGAGGCTTGCTCTCCTGCAGTGCTTAAATGCCTTGAAAACATCACCCACACCAGAGTGGAGAGTGTTTGCCATCCCATGCCTTACTTGACTCCTACTAAGGGATAAAGAAACTGGAGCTGTGATATGAGAACAGTGAGTTCAGAGGACAAACCATGCACCCCCCTGCACCGATCCACAACCCACCAGCACCTCCACAGAGACTCAGCCTGCCTGGAAAGCTGCTGCCCTGGCAGCTCCTGAGGAGCAGAGCTGTGCTGGGAGAGCTGCAGAGGCTGTTGAGAACGAGCTGGGAGTGAGGCAGCACGTGGTGTGTCCCTGCTTGTCTGAGGCAGCTGTGCCAGCAGGACAGGCTGTGCTGCCAGCCCCACCAGCACCAGGGCAGGAGCCCTGGCACCCTCTGCTGCCAGCCAGCTGCACCCCTGGAGGCTGCTGGGCTCCTCCCCTGTGTGCTGGGCATCCAGTCAAGGTGTAAAAAGAAGGTGGGAGCTGCCCTCAGGGCAGGCAAAGGTGTCACTGTACAGGTACCATGGAACAAGAACCCCTCCATGATGGTGCTGCTGTTGGGTTCTCTCTGAGTAGGTCCAGCTGGAACAGACTTGCCCCTCTTCCACACCTTTGGGAATGGATGTGATCCCTGGCTGAAGCCCCACTTTCCATTCTGGGGGGAAGGAGCCTCCTGGCTCTTTGCTTTGCCAACTCCAGAGCCTCCTGCTCACACCTGTTTTGTTGGTGTTGCCAGCAGAGATCCAGCTCTGCCCCACATCACTCTGTGTGAGTGTCCTTCTCCTTGGGGACAGGCAGGCTCGACCTGGCAGGAGAGCTGGTGGCTCTTTTGATCACCTCCATCCACCTGCCAAGAAAAGACATGAGGAATGTTTAACCCTCACTCACAGGGAATCTTGTCCTTTGTTGTGAGCTGTACCCCTTTCCCAAACCTCCCAAAACAGCCATTTTCTTTCTTTTACAAGTCTTCTGGATAATTAACTCTTCAAAGGAACAGCTTGAGATGTGTCTGCAGAAAATACCCTGCAGAACGTGGTTGCCTGTCCAAGTAATGAGTCTGCAGTGCTCTGAGCCCCAGAGAACTCTCATGAGTGCTCACTGTGCTCTCTCCTCAGTGTTATCAAGGATGAGAAGCTGATAATAATTACTGCTTTTCTTAACAATAAATTAGGAAATAGGTAACAGCCTTGCTCCTGTGGAAGAAAGCAAAGCAACAGAGAAAAAGCAAGACAAATCCACTGTGAATTGGACATTTTCCCCCTGAAATCCCTACCATGAGCCCAGTGCATTAAAGAGCAGAACTTATGGCTCAGGTAGCTGATACCTCAGGTGTTCACAAGTGTGTGACACTCTCCCAAGGAAGGGGACATGTGGCACCTCAGTAAAACCACATTCCAAAACTACCAATACCACCCTGCATGGCAGGACTCAGAGCAGGGTTCTCAACACAGCAGCAAAGTTTTGTACCTGGTGCATTTCACACAGTTTGGACTCACTGTGGAAGCCCTAAGAGCAATTAATTGTAATTCCAGAGGATAATAATAAAATAATTACAGAGAAAGCAGACCAGTGAAAGGGAGCCCTGCACTTGTTGCTCTCAGCCTCCTGTTGTAACTTCTGCTCCCAGAGATGGAAGATAAAAACCAAAAAACTCTTTACAGAACCTGGGAATCCCAAAGAGCTGGAGGAGCTGAGACCCCACAGCCCTTCCCCTCCCACATTCCTCCCTGGCCCCAAGGAAGCCCCAGACTCCTGGCACAAAGCACAGCTCTCAGCTCCAGGTGTATCCCCAGCTCTCCCACATACAGGAGGGTTCTGTCAGAGGAGGGATCTCCAAATATCATTGGTGGGGAGAAGAAGGGAATGTTATTCCTGAGAATGTGCTGGAAAATCACTCAGACTAGGAGGAAAGAGAGCATGGCATTCACATGCTCTGAACAGAGAGAGAATTCTCTCTCACAGCATTTTTCCTAGAGAAGCAAAGAGAGAAGAAGACAAAACAATTCTTATCTCTATTTGCTGCTCCTGTTGTTTTTGCACATGTGGAATGTGTTAGGATGATTGTTTACCTGCAGGGATTTGGTGATTGGATTCTGGTGATGGTTGTTTATATTAATTAACCAATCACTCCAAGCTGTGTCCTGACTGTCAGGAGACAGGAGTTTTCTTTAGTATTGTAATTAGTAATTATTGTATTTAATTTAGTAATTATTGTATTCATTTAGTAATTACTGTATTTAATTTGTTTACAATAAAAATTATTGTAATTATTTTT